ATATATGACTATATATATAAAATATATAGTCTTAATTATAAATCCATTTGTTTTTTTTTATTATGGAAAGCAATGTATATATATATAATTTTTTCTACCTGGCTCTATGGCAACTAACAATATGTATTATTTTTTACTAAAATCTCTAGGTCTATTTTTTTCTCTAATATTTAATAACTTCAGCATTTCCTTCTGTGCCTTATGATGATTATATTGCTCGAAATTATTACTTACTAAACAAGCCTCTTTGTGTTCATTGCTATGTAGATGATTTAAATATTCCTTTGCTGTTTTAGGAAAGATATCGCAGACCCTACACCAATGCATTTCAGGGTCATAGTGAACGAAATTATACATTGGCTTATCCTCCGATGATCTTCTCTCCCTAATATCTTTTTCTGCTTTGGATTCCTTATCTGAATCAGAAGGTGATGATCTATTGGGCGAAGGGGACTTCCCTTTTGGAAAGTCTTCTTTTGGACTTCTCGAACGCTTACTTAATTCTAGCTTAAACTTGCTCTTCAGATCATCCACGGTAACTTTGTCACCAATAATACCAGTAAGCATATCAATGACATTGTGAATAGACTTCATTTTATTTTGTATTTCAATCTGCAAATGCATTTTAAATTCAAATAAAATTAAATTGAAATAAATATTAATCATGAAGAAATATATTGATAAAATCATGTATTAATTACCTGTAATTTCTGATTTTCCTTTAAAATTCGATTATTTTCACGACCACCGTCTTTGCCTATCTCATCACATTGTTGACGCAAAATTTCCAGTTCACGTTGCAACGTGGCAGATTTCTTAACATATTCCTCTCGTTGTTTGGCCAATGTCGCCTTCTGCTGTTTTACCTCAGCTGCGATTGCTATTAGGTGTTCAATTTGAAGAGATTAAAAATTGAATTTAAAAAAATAACTAATTATCATATTATTATTATATATCATATTATTATATTATTATATACATATTATCATATGTATATTATCATATTATATTATTATATACATATTATCATATGTATATTATCATATTATATTATTATACAGTGCCTCAAAATTCATGTACAGAAAATTCGGACTACAGAACATGATACTTTATGCTAAAACAATTTTTTCCTTTAGTAAAATTGTGTCCGATAAATAATTTTTATAACTTCACCTGCTCTCCTGCAAAAACTACTTATCGGATGCAATTTTGCTAAAGGAAAAAGTTGTTTTTGTGCTAAAACAACTTTTTCCCATAGTAAAATTACATTCAATAAATAATTTTGACGTTAACTTGTATAACTTCAACCTGCAAAAACTGCTTGTTAAACGCAATTTTGCAAAAGGAAAATATTCGTTTTAACATAAAGTATCATGTTCTATACTCCGAATGCGCGAATTTTGGAACACTCTATATATATAAATGCAGAAATTATTGTTAAATAAATATTAATGTCAATTTGAATATATTATAAACAAAAAGAAAATTGCATACCTTCTTTTTTGACATCCTCAGGCCTTGTTAAAGATGTAACTAAGCCAGAAGAACTGCTGTCAATTGGCCTTGATGATTCTTGTTGTGGTGTCATCGCAGGAGGTGGCGGTGCTTGTTGGTTGTTATATGATACCTGACTTCCTTGCCAATTGGGTGGTGGATAATCCTAACAGAATTAATAAATTCAATCAATCTCTAATCATTCAATAGCATTCTTATCGACCCTTACCTTTATCGGATGATACTCAAATGAGGACTTTGCCTAATACATGGAAGTCTTGATGATGTAACGGTGTAGTCAATATTATGGGTTTCCAATATCAGTGCCAGTAAAATACATAACGCGGATATTATACTTACTGAGAGATTCACAATATTGCGATACAAAGAAGTATAATTATGATGCTCCAAGAGAGCAGAAACAAATATGCTACCGAATATAAATTATAATCGGTAACATAGTGGTACTATTTCTGAAATACTTTGCAAAAGCGCGCAAGTTTCGACACCAGAGTCAATTTTTTTCTAAGTAAAGCTAAGAAGAGTGTATTAACTTTTTTATTTCAAATAACTTACACTCCGATAACCAGCAGGCTGTTGATAACTGTAGTCGTAACCTGGACCATAATTATAACCATAATTGTTATATCCTTGGCTGTAGGCAGAAATCGGTGGTGGTGGCTGACTCGTGTTTGGTGGAGGAGCCTATACAAATAAAGCATAAGACAATATTGCAAAATATACAATAAAATGTAGTGATATAATTAATAAGACAATTTTGTATCTTGTTCATAAATCTATCAAATTTATAGCTGTATCAATTTAAAGCTGTTTACCTGATATTGATTATGTACTGCTGAAACATAACTCGTAGAATTGCTTGGATTAGGTACGGTATTTTGGGTTTGGGATGGAGGAGCTTGTTGCTTCCAATCTTGCGTCCTAGATTCCTTTCGTCTTCTATCTCTAGAACTTGATCGAGATCTTCTGTCTCTGGAACGAGACCTGCGGTATCGGTTTCGTCTGGGAGATGGTGACCGATCATACTTTCGTCTTCTTCTAATATGCGAGGAATCATCTGAATCGGCGCTGGGGCTTCTAGGGCCCTTGCGCCTACATTCAGATTCCATTGTTTGCTTCAAATCTCCTATATTATACAGATATGTATTATATTACATGTATTATATTTATATGTCAACAAAAATTAAATGGCTCAGTACAGAGATAGCCATTTGCACAAGACCGGTTTTACAATATATCATACTTAAGGCAAATTTGACGCATTTAGATGCTTATGTCACCTTCAAAATCATATGAAGGCGACAAAATATAAGTTCTATTTGTCTTCTCTTAAATATTATCTCTTTGTTTCACTATTTATCGCGATAGGAACGAATAGTTCGCGGAATCCATGAAATGTTTTCATACGATTGTGATTTCGCTTAAGGCGAATTTTATGAATCACGAGCCTATTTCTTGACGCCACCAGTTTAGACACTAAAGTTTCTCGTGGCACACGTCAAATACGCAACAATTTAGAGCGTCGTACTGCAGCCATTGCTATCCCCTCAACGAGATGGGAACTACAAGGATGGAAACTACAAGCTTGCATCGAGTCATACACACATTGACTACGGGACTCACCTCGGCTCAAAAAGATCCCTTGTTCGCTCGTTGAATACGGGCGGAATAATCAGTTAAAATTGATATGTATATACGTCAACAATCACTGAAGTCGCCGATAACACACTGCATGCCGCAACCTCGCGGCCAAAGATTATGGAAATCCAACGAAGAGGCGAATTTAAAGGTACTTTTACATGTGAACATTCGTGGTATAAGAATATAAAGGTGTCTTTTCATGTTGATTCTCAATTTAACATTAAAACAGTGGTCTGTTCGATTTGCTTACACATTTTTTACACTTTTTACACTTAAAATACCGACGAGATGCTATTAAAGACCGATATACTTATACTTCCGGCACATCAGCGCGATGTTCGTTGCGATATCCAATGAAAGTGTACCTTTAGAATGAAAACATCGATAAAACTATACACTCATCGTGCTGATGTGCCGGAGCTATTACGGGAGTTCGCGTCCTTGTGAATATTGATTTATTAGATTAATATACGTTTATTTAGAACTTTGGATTTAGAACTTAATAATACTCGATTTTTCTTTGTGATTTCAGTATTATCATCAGAGTTTGATTATCAACAGAAATGATAACTGCAGAGAAAAAATTATAATTTTTCTGCAATATATAGGATATTCTTTTCAAGTATGCATATTTATTTATGGAACATTTATGTAATAAAAAATCATAAATTTAATAATGTATAAGTCAAATATTTATCTTAATATTATTTAATTATTTATTTAATTTTAATATTAGTAAATTTATATCAATTGTCGATGTCAGCGTTTTTCAATTACTTCCAGGCTCTTACGGCTCTTTTATTCCGTCGAAAATTTGCCTAGGGTTGACGATCTTTAATAGTATCTCGTTGGTGCTTAAAATGAGGTACATATTAATTTGGTACTGAAAAGAGAGAAAGCGAAGATGCTGAGTGTAAGGAGAACAGAGAACAGAAAATAAGAATTTCAACCTATCAGAAATTGTGTATTCCACAAAACATGATTCTGATAGATTGAAATTCTTATTCTGTGTTTCCTGTTCCTTTTATTGAGCGGAGCTCCTAAAAGTATAAGCAAGTCGAATAGACCTCATAACATATTATAAAAATTGATGAATATCAAGCGTCAATGGCTTAGTTTCCACCGATGATTTAATCCGAATCAGAATGTAAGAACCAACCAACTAGTCGAGTATTCCTCTGTTACAATCGAACGACAAACGAATGCTCGACTGTACCAGGTATATAAGCTTAAATCCTGTTTGCTCATAGGTGGCATTAGTGAGCGTACAAAGCTACTCTGGCACACAACACACTTTTTTTTTAAGTGTTTGACATCTGTCAACATTAATCAGCACATCATCAGCAATTTCATACAACATACATTTTTTCTTTCGTAATCATGTCTAGTTTTATGTTTAAAAAAATGCATATGCCGGACCATGCCTTTGCTTTTCTGTTTCAATTTGAAGAAATTGGCTGCCGAATCGCATCGAATGCTTGTGAAAGCCTATGGCGACAATACTTTATCGGAAACAACGTGCAGAGATTGGTTTCGCCGGTTCAATGATGACAATTTTGACCTGAGTGTGAAAATGATAAGAAGTGTGAAAATCGGCCTCGGAAGGTTGAGGACTGTCAATTGCAGGCTCTTTTGGATGAGGACGATACCCAATCGCAAAAAATGCTTGCCGAGCAATTGGGTGTCTCTCAAGCAGTCATTTCCATGCAGCTACATGCCATAGGGAAGGTTCAAAAGATCGGAAAATGGGTGCCGCATGAACTGAACGATAGGTAGATGAAGCGATGCCAAAACACATGCCAAATTCTGCTTGTCAGACAAAAAAGAAAGTCGTTCTTGCATCGGATTGACAGGCGATAAAAAGTGGATCTATTTTCAGAATCCTAAACGCAAAACCCATGGTTGGGCGAGAAATCTTGGGTTGATCCCGCCCAACCATCAATATCTTCCTCAAGACCAAATCGCTTCGGACAGAAAACAATGCTGTGCGTTTGGTGGGATCAGGAGGGTGTCATCTACTACAAGCTGTTAAAACCTGATGAAACTGTTAATGCTCATCGCTACCACCAACACCTGATCAAATTGCACCGTGCTCTGCGTGAAAAAAGGCCGCATTATCGGAAAAGACATGACAAGCTGATTTTCCTCCACAACAACGCACCATTGTACACATCAACAATGGTCCAAAACTACTTGGAGACACTCAACTGGGAGTGCTACTCCATCCTGCTTACTCACCAGACCTGGCACCTTCTGACTATCAGCTGTTTTCGTCGATGGACCATGCGCTCGCTGAGTGGCACTTCGATTCTTATGAAGATATCTGAAAATGGCTTGATGAGTGGTTTGCCTCGAAAGATGAGAAATTTTTTTGGCGTGGTATACGCAAATTGCCCGAAAGATGAGAAAAATGTATAGTTAGCGAGGGCAAGTACTTTGAATAAATTTTTTTTTGCTTCCTAGGAAAAAAAATGTTTTTTTTTTACTAAAAAACAGCGGATTTAAACTTATACACTTGATTATTTGGTTGGTTCTTACATTCTGGTTCGGATTAAACTCTCGATGGAAACTAAGCCATAATTACAATACTATCTTGATCAAAAAGTTCCCGGAATTCATTCAGAAAATTCAAAATATAAGTTTTATTCATCAAAAGATATTGTCCCCTTCAAAGTACTCCCCATCGACTGCAATGCACTTATGCCAGCGCTTGATCCAGCTCTCAAAACATTTCTGGAACTCTATTGTCGGTATAGCCATCAGAGCCAGAAATCTTCGATTTTTCCATTACCTCCTTTCGGCTGTTAAAACACGTTCCTCGTAATGATTTTTTCATGCCACTCATAAACGGCTGTTTTCTTTAGAGATTACTGTCGAAACAGTTTCCCAACATTTCCAAGGTTTTCACACCATTGAATCCATTTTTAACGCAAAATTTAATACAAACTCGTTGTTGCAAATTCAACTCCATTTTTAAAACTGTAAAAAATCGAAAATATGTGTAGAGGTAGATGTCAAGACGGCGTAACAAATGTCAAGCTATAGTGATAAAATTTGATGAGAATGTCAATGATAGATGTGGCAACCTAACCAAAAAAACAGAATTCAAATCAGCTGACTGAAAGCATCACCTGGTGGTAATTCCGGGAACTTTTTGATCAAGGTATACTACACAGTACGGATGATATTTTGAAGTATTAAATATAACAATACATTAAAACAAGAGAACAAAATGCAAGATATAGCGTAATGAGAAGCGCAGAAACTGAAAAAGGATTTTTACATTGATAACAAGTAGAAAATTGTAAAGATAAAAAATCAAAAATGAGCAAGATCTCCAGTGGCAGTATATTTAACGCGCTCATATTGTTTATAATCGTAACTTAAAATAAAAATTGCTAAGATGTTCGTACCTTGTGTGTGTATGTGTGTGTGTGTGACTTGTCAATATATATATATGTGTATATATATAT